TGTCTTCAGTTGGTTCTGGCTCTACTTCTTTTGTTTCTGAGTGTTGGGTTTCTTCTGTCTGGGCATCACCTTCTTCATCTAACATAAAAGGATTCTTCTTTTTCTTTTTGCTCATAATAGGATCAAAAATTGTCTCGTCCCCGGACGTGGCTGCGGTTCAAGCAGACGGGAAACCACATCGGTCAGCTTCAGAGCCTGGAGTGAGTGTAGCTCCTACCAATACCACTCCCAGCACCACGCTAGCTACACACAGGACATCAGGGGATTCCCGAAGCCCCTTGAACGCCTTATGTCACATTCTCAACACTTACTGCACAGCTTGGTGGAGGTGCCGCCTTTCTGCAGCGCTCATGGCTTTCCTGGGGAAGACAATCGTGCAAGGGCTCCTTCCTGGGCTATTTCTCAGCTTGGAGGCACTTAGACAGTGCAACTATTAGAAATACGCACCCCAAACCTCTCTGAGGTGGGCTTTGGAGAACTTCGTATTTTTACTCTTTGACAGTGTTAGGAGTCTTGTGTGTTTAGCACTGAATGGAGCCAAAATGAAGCAGCAGCCAGCTTGTCCTCCCTTTGTGTTGTCAGCCGATGCTCTTCTTCTCAGGTCAAATCTTTCCACTGTGTGTCACCAGGAACCTCCAGATTTCTGAGGCTTCTACTGATTTCTCCTACCTTGTGTGTGTTCACAGCTGTGTGTCTGTATGGCTCTAAAAGCCAAGTATCATGGCCGAAACACAAAGAAACAACAGAACATGAATTTAGAAGTACAATGTCCTGGTCACTGATTGGGAAGGGAGGCAGGGCGGGGGGTGGGGGATGGAGATGAACCTTATCTTTTCCTTCCTGTGCACTTAGTGTACACTTAAGAGAATAGTTACTCTATTTCAGATATGCCTAGGAGTGGCAGGAGTGGGTAGGCTCACCATCATTAACTTACTATACTGCTGGATAGAATGTTTCAAAATGAACTCAATGTTGCAAACTGAAAACAATAAATCTTATTAAATACAAAGGCTCTGTTTTCCTGAAGATGTGGCTTTTGGCTTAATTCTCAAAGAAAGACAGAATTTGAACACCAGAAGGAGGAGGGAAGAGGTGGGATCCTGCTGGCCCTGCTCACATCCCCCACTTAGGCTGTTCCCTGTGCCTAACTCTGCCACCTAACTTCCTGGCGAAAAGCTTTATTAACTGTTCACAAGGCTGTGATATTTAAATCACGTGTTGTCCCATACTACAGTTGAAACAGCCGCAGGGTGCTATAACTTAGATGCGGGCTGTCAGTCAAAGGTCCATGTGCTGGAGACAGGATCCAGGAGAGTGTTAAGTTGATGGAACTTTTAAGGCTGTGGTGACGCATGTCTTTGATCCCAGCACTCGGGAGGCAGAAACAGGTGGATCTTGGAGTTTGAAGTCACCCTGATCTACAGAGTAAGCTTCATCTATCTGTGGTCCTCGGATCACTAGGGCCCCTACAGTGAAATTAGGTTGCTCTTGAAACTTTAGAAGTCAAGCAGCCAATCTGGTCTCACAGAGCTCTCTCTCCCTGTGTCCATTTTCAAGGAAAGGAGATGCTTCCTCCCACAGGGCTGCCATATCTCCTGTGGGCAACACTGACTAAACTCTTCAGGAGTTTCACTGCAGTTACAAGAAGCTAGGTGAGACAAAGAACCACCCTCTTTAATACGCAAAGGACAAACTTATCCCCCATGAACATATGGCCTCACATCTTGAGCATAGAGTCCTAGGATTCTACTACACATCTTACAAGGCCGCAAACAGCCCTCCCCAGGCAACAAGGAACTATCCAGTCCAAAAACGTCAGGATTTCTGCTCCAAAGACCCTACTTAGAGGTCAATAGCTGCCTGCTGTTGCTGTCCTATGTATTGCTACGGTGGAGCTGTGTCCTGTTTCCTCTTCTCCTCACTGTGGATGTTAAAGCCCACTCATGTTATCCTTCCTTGTACATCACCAGTCTTTCTGTTGTCCTTAAAAGACTAGATCCAGAAAAGGTCACGAACAGCTTCCAGTCATTAAAGTAGTCTAGGACCTTCCCTGCAGCAAGCAGTCCAGGAGACCAGATGTGCAGGACCTCCCCCGCCTTCCTCCACTCCTGACCCTACAACACGTGTGAGGTCCTGCCTGCCTGTGGCTAGGCAACAAGGCTGTATTTCCTCATCTCCAGTGACATTACCAAACCTGACAACGCTTCCTCCTTCCCTCCTGGGGGCCTTGCCAGGTCAGCTGGTAAACACAACATGGGTTGGGTCAACAATGTAAAAAGCTCACCTCAGCCCTCACCAGGCTGATGACGAAAGCAGCCAGCTGATGTTTGGCTTTTCATCGCCTTGTTTAAAGGACAACATTGCTACACTAACCAGCACCATTTGCAGAGGAAAAGAGAAAACACTGAAAGTAACAATATAGAAACATTCTAAAGTGCAGACATGGAAGCAAAGACTGCCAAAAAATCCATTATCAAAGACAGGTTTTAAAAGCCCAGGAATGACACAGAGAGGGGAAGAGACTTTTCCCTCCTTAGTAACATCAATTATCAATTATTCAGGAAACATGGTCTCTAAAATTAAACTAGTTGGGGTTAAAGCATTTACTATGTATGACCTTATTTCATAGATTTTGAATATATCACTTCAAAGCTCCTATAGCATCCACCTTAAAGCAGGCATAGTTGTTTTAGCAATACTGCTAAAAGAAAGGAATAATCCGGCATTAAAAAGTTACTTGGCCCAGCAGAGACTCTGGCGCCAGACTGCCTGGGTTCAAAACCCAATTCCCACTTGGGATTTTGGTCAGTTCACTCAACCTCTTTGTATGTCTCTGTATTCAACTACTAATTGAAATAACAACAGTGCTCACCTCCAAGAATTGTTATAAAGGGTAAAACTTATACAGAAAAAAATGCACACAGCACACACTCAACAGGATGAATTTCTCAAGTAAATAATGTCTTACGTTAAAAAAGTGAACAACCAGCTTTTTTGTTGTTGCTCTGTTTTTAAACCAAAGGCCATGTTTTCTCGTTCTCCAGGCACAGGGCCCCTTTCTCACTAAATAAATTTGTTGAGTACAGCCAAAGTTGTCCTCTGATCCAGGATTTGTAACTAAGGTATTCTGCTTGATTCTCAAAAAAAAAAAAAAAAAAAAAAAACCCACACACTAATAGTAATGCCAGTTTCTAAATGTCCAGAGGGAAAGAAAAACAGGAAGCCAGCAATAGGAAGATGCCATGAGGACCATTTTCAAACAAAGGTGATGAAGAAATCATTGTTGGCAGAATGGACCATTCATGGAAAACAGGGAGTCTGCTCGGTAACTAGTGATGGTGGTGCACAGCTCTATGCCAGCACTTGGGAGGCAAGACAGGTGAAGTTTAAGATCAACCAATTTTCGTTAGGCATACCCTTAATGAAAGGAAGGAAGGAAGGAAAGAAGGAAGGAAGTCAGTCAGTCAGTCAGTCAGTCCTGGCAGTAAGAAAATGCCTATGGTTCCTATTTCAATTCCGTGAACCAGTAAACATAGCTCCCAACATGAGAATTTTTGACGGAATGGCAACCAAAGCAAAAAGGCTACATGAAGACATAATCACAGCTCGGAAGAGACAGAGTTCCAAAACTGCTGTCAGATCTTTGCTTTTCTTAAATAAACATCAATCCAGACCTTTATAAAGGCTTTATTTCATAAGAACTGCTGCAACAGAAGAAAGCTTCAAAGTCAAAGTCTTCAAGTGTCTCCATGTCAAACAAGGCTTTCTTTCATGGGGACGACAGGCAGACTGCGAAACATTAAGAGGGAGAGCAGACAAACAGCCGAGTACACAGAAGTCATGAACAAGCCTTGGCGCCAGTTCTTAAGATGCATTTTGGTGCTTGTTAAGGCTTGGACAAAGTGAAGTGCGGGGCAGGGGGGGTGGGGGGGAGTACAAGGAAGGGAAAAGCCAGGCGGACATGTGCACAAATCAGGGCAACAAACAAACCATGGGGGACTGTGAACAATGAGCCCTTTCATGAGGGGAGGAATCTGGCTTCAGGTGAACAATCAGAGTAGCTAAGAGTTAAATCACGAAAAGCTAAGTGGTAAACCTTCAGTAGCGTAGGTAAATACCTAGCACAATTTAGTTAATAAAGTATTCCTTGTTGTGGCCCTGAGCATTAATCCTTGATTTCCTGGCACCAGGCTGTGCTGAGTGAGCCCTGTGTCCTGCAATCCACTCTGCCAACCTGGCCAAAGAATTTGCAAACCGATGTTTCTCACCTGCGTCCCTCTTAAATAATTGATTCATCTGGCAACCAACAACTAGAATACACACAAAACAAAAAGAGTGAGTCACGACACAGGAATATGGGGCTGACTTTTGCAAGAATAAATTCCAAATGCTGGATCGAGAATATCTGGGGAGAAACAAAAGCTGATAAAATTTTTTGTTTTTTTGTTTAATGTTCTATCAAAAAACTCAGCACACACATTTCACTGGCATTGGCTTGGAAAATTTGCCCCAAATTTTCTGGTCACATGAAACAAAGTAAGAAACAGTTCAAGCCTGGTGAAATAGTAAAAAACTATCTAAAAAAAAAAAAAGCAATGTATTAGTTACTAATGGCAGTGTATTAGTTACTAATGTAATAAACAGACTGAAAAGAGTTTAGATTCTAATTGTCCTGTTTTGATGTTTCTGGAACAAACCACTCTTATTAATTTAAAAATTCTGTAATCATTTCACATATTGAAAACAAAAGCTGGCCAGGTAGTTGTAGAACATGCCTTTAATGCCAGCACTTAGGAAGCAGAGACAGGAGGATCTCTGTGAGTTCGAGGCCAGGCTGGTCTGCAAAGCAAGTTCCAGGACAGCCAGGGCTGCTACACAGAGAACCCCTGTCTCAAAAAAACCAAAAAAGAAAACCAAAGCTGGGAAAGACAAAAACAGTGACTTAACACCTTTTAAAAACTTATTTTGGCATTTTTCTATTTGAGACGCGATCCTCTTACCTGTCAGTGATATATTATGGCTCTCCAAGGAAAGGTTTGAATATTTTGCCATCATTTCTTCTCGAACAGGTAGACTTGTAAAAGACGAATCTGTAAGACAAATTGCATGTGGTTATATTCACAATATCCTCGCCAAGACTAGATAATTACTTAAAAACCACCTTGGAGCTGGCCAGATAGTTTAGTGGATAAAGGTGCTTGCTGCCAAGCCTGGTGACCTGAGTTTGAATGTGTGTGTACGTGCATGCATGCTATACATATGCATGCTAAAAAAAGTCTGGTCAACATTTTTTTTCTAATAAAAATTACTTAGTCCCACTCTTGGGCATGACTCATGTGGAGATTATATTAAAGAAATAATACAGTAAGTCCGAGACAGACACCACTCACTCGGTGCTAGTTAGGAAGAAAAAGTGGGTCAGAAAGAGCTATCATGACTGCCATCTGATCTGGAATGTTGCAAAGCATACATCCCCTCATTTGGAAGCCCTCCTTTCTGCCCTCGCTGTCTACTGTGATATTTCTCATTGCATGTCCTAGTCTTCACACGAGCATGGGACCCTTTCCGATGGCCACCATCACTCATTCTGGTGGCGGTGACTGTCATTCACACTGTCAGTTATAGGAGAGAGACAGCAGTCAGGAAAAAATGCCATGTGTCACATTTATCCTGACTCCACTTAAGTCAGGATAAAAGTACCTGATATACAGTGTGTGCGGGCAAGGAGCAGGACGTGGGGCAAACTGGATCCCTAAAAGCTAGTGGATGGTAAAGTAACTGTTTGAGCCCCGAGTGGTTGAGTCCTTAACATTTCTGAAACATTTATTCCTGGTATTAGTGTCATGAGCTTGCGTCTTTCATACAAGTTAGCACAGGATCTACAGAGGGTACAGAAGGTAAGCCTCACTTTGGAAAGGGCATGAAGGTCAAGGTTACTGCAGGAGATCAGGGCTGGGACGGCTTTCCTCGCCTCACCTCCAGGGACCAACTCTGGAAGAACCTATCTAGATCTACAAGAAAACAAAGAGAGGAAGGGGCTTCAAAGGCTGAAGTTCACCAAAATCTCAGCGGGGAGGGCTTAGACAGATGTGGCCCGGATGCATCCCTAAAAGGATTAGGCTGATTCACAAAAGGAAATAAAAATGAAGAGGTAGGAACCGCACGTCCCAAGCTGAGACAGGCCAGTAGATGGGGACCTAAAGTATCAAAATGTGGTTGATAATAGCTCAGTACTTTAATGACAAAGTCTCCACCATAAACCTCAATTCTTAGAGAAAGCGGCGGGGAGAGAATTAGGAAAAGTCACACAAATCCCGAGTGATGGTGCCAAGTTCAAAACATGCATTCTTCAAGGTATTACAATCACCCTTTTCTTAATCATTTCTGGACACTTTCCACCTGGCTTTCTCTCCCAGGTAACTGATGAAACGCCAACCTAAAAGAATGACAACTAGCGCTTGTTGCAGAGATTAGAGGACTTTTCTTCCTCCCTCTGAGGGGAGATGGTGCATAAAGATACTGCATCAAAGAACTGAGTGGCAACCTAATTTTCAACCCATTTTTACTTGATGCAAAAAAAAAAAACGGTTTTATATTACGTCTTAAAACAAGCCTTGTACCAGGCAGTGGTGGCACACGCCTTTAATCCCAGCACTCTGGTGGCAGAGGCAGGCAGATTTCTGTGAGTCCGAGGCCAGCCTGGTCTACGAGAGCTAGTTCCGGGACAGGCTTCAAAGCTACAGAGAAACCCTGTCTTGAAAAAAAGAAAAACAGGTCTTGCTAGAGGGGCTTAAAATTTACAGTAGTACCACCATGGAGTGGACTAGAGGTTACAGTGTCTTCCGTTGTTTCACATATTTAACTATGAACTTTGTTTAAAAGAAGCAGATGGAAGAGGGTGAAACAAGGAAGAAATGCTAGAAAAACGGGGAGGAGTCTTAAGAACTGTTTTTATTTCTGGAAGGAAATCTTCAAGTGCATCTCCTGTAAGAATAACTACTTCCTCTAAGCCGGGCTTGCTAGTGCAGGCCTGTAATCTTTGCCATTACTCACAAGGCTGAGGCAGGAGGATTGCAAATGTAAGGCCTGCCTGGGCAGCTCCATTAGTTACTGCTTCAAGAGATTCAATGAAAAGAGGGCTGAGATACCGTGGTAGATATTACTTCCCATACATGTGAAAAACCCTGGGTTTCACCCCCACTACTAAAAAATTGTTTTAAAGACTGTACTCTCTAATATTTCTCTATTATTGCATCTTCTCTAGATTTTTTTTAAAGTTTATTTGCATGTATGTGTGCTTGTGTGACTATGTGTGCCACATGCATGCAGGAGTCTATGTAGAGTAGAAGGAGGAGGCATCAGGCCCTATGGAGCGTATAGATGGTCATGAGCTGCTGTGTGGGTGCTGGGAACAAAGCCAGTTAATCTGCAAGAGCAGTACCTTTAACCACAGAGCCATCTCTCTAGGTCCTTCTCGTTACAGTTTAATATTTTGGATTTAATACTTTTTGTTTAAAATGGCATAACTCAGGGGTTGAGCATTTGCCTAGCATGTACTGTTCAATCTACAGGATTGCAAAAAAGAAGTTCTAAGTTATTATTAAATTAAATATATTATTCTTTATGCATAATTTGCATATCTATTATTATAAATATGCATACTTAAGATTATTTTGATAAATCTTTATTTTAAAATTCTGACACACAATAGTATAAACACACAATTATAAGAACTACAACTTAGGAACAGGTAAAATATACTACTGAAAAATCTAAAATATGAAAAATCAGTATATTTCTTCATGAAGGAAACAACATATGTAAGAATAGGACTGCAGTATTATGGCTTACCTACAGCTTTAAAACATCTTATTACCATGTAAAATCCTGCTCACGAACAATGCATTTGGAATTGCATCTCTAGGCATCTAGTATTTCTATCCTCTTTCATAACTGTAGTACAAGGGAAAAAAGCAGGGGTGGTGTGTCAGGATACTCAGAGTTGTGGGCATATTCCAGAGTCTGTTGAGGAAATTATGAGCTGCCAAGGGTACAAGTCAACCTTTAACAGTTCCAGACAAAGAACATTCCAGGCAGGTAACTAGTATGGTTCAGATAATAAGGGAATTACTGGACAGAAAGGCCATCTATCATTGAGCTTTAAAAAATAAAACTCTGACAAGCACAATGTGTACTTTTACATGACCTCCGAAAGCATTCCATAATAACACCAACGACAACCAAGCGTTACTCAGACCAAAAAATAAATGACGCAAAGACCGAGAAAGCTTGGCTCTGAGTACCTACATCCTCAACCCCCGTTCCCCGTTCCTGATTCAGTACGGCTACTTTTTAGAATCTACAAACACTCCTGTAACCCCATGTTCCTGTTCTGCATAGTTTACACATAAATATTTTAAAGCATAAATATCAAGTTGGCATTCACAGGTGACAAACAGCCTCCTGCCCCTGCCCTGGGTCTACTCTGAGGATCGCTTTAGGAAGAAACCCCATTGCTGGGTGAGGGACTGAAGTGTGGAACAAGAAACCAGCTATGGCTTGCTCCTTGCCCCTAGATATATGACAGAGGCACTTGGAGTGTTAAGATCAATCAAAATTCCCTTTCGGGTTCTTAACTTGTGCAACTCAAAGGCCAAAAAAGATTTTATCTTGGCCTGGATGTGATGGTACACGCCTGTAACCTCAGCACTTGGGAGGTGGTGGCAAGGAAATGAAGAATTCAAATTCATCCTTGGCTACGCAGTGAGTCTAAGGCCAACCACAGATAGATAAAACCCTCCCTCAAAAAAGACTGTTTGGAGATTAGGAGGGATCCATTAGCTACACTAACCTCAATAACTTTAAAAACAGGAAAAAAATGTATTCAATAAAACAAACAGCACCATCTTTAAAGACAATGTCTCTCGTTCCTAAAACAACATTACAGAGGTATTCCGCTATGCCTGAATGAGGATGGTACCTTGCGGAGTTTATTTTTAACAAAACATTGCAAAGGAGTCTTTTCTTTCCCGTCTATGTTAATGTATGTGTGCAAAGTGGTTTAGTCGCGAGGTTGTCCTTATCATTGCGAAATATGAAATATGAGATGCCGGCAGCCAAGAGTAGTTCCTAGGAATTGCAAGGGGAAAGGGGGGAGGGGGAGGAGAGAGAGGGGAGGAGGGAGAGGGAAGGAGGGAGGACGAAGTTAAGGAAGGGAGGACGGACGAAGGAAGGGAGGACAAAGGGAGGGAGGGAGGGACAGAGGGAGGGAGGCAGTCAGGCTCAGCACACATCTAACTGTTACTGTTTAAGGGCATGTTCTCTAGAAAATAGTTCCAGGAGTTGGAGGGACAGTTCAGCAGTTAAGGCCACTTACTATTCCTGCAGAGGACCTGGGCTCAGCTGCTAGCATGCACACCCACCAAGTGGCTCACAGCCACCTGTAACTAAAGTTCCAAGGAATACACTTCTAGCTTCCCCCAACACCTAATGGCACATATAAACACACACAGGTACATATGTACACATAAATTTAAAAATGGAACCAAACACACGGGTGACCAGTTCTCAACTACTGTTTGAATGGAATGACTGTGGTTAGTCAAGCTTCCTTCGAAAAAGCTGAGCAAATTTTGTTTCTCTTCAGACAAGCTCAGGTTTATAGGAAATGTCAAAAACTGGCATTTCTTCCCCCGATCGTCGTGAAAGGAACGTTACTGACATGATGAAACGGGCCTCTCTGAGATATTACTTGAGTGTTTCCTGCATCAGAGAGATCCCACATCATCCCAGGCTGCACTGAAATAGGGATGCTGCCATGCCTGCACGGCCAGCTCATGCCAAGCCCCTGCTAGGTCTCTCTCCTGTGGGCATTTCTACAGAAGGCTCAGGAGCACACGCTGCCATCAGCTTCCCGTCCCTCCATTCCCCTTCCTGGCAACAGCTCTCATCTTGACATCTTCAACCTTGACCCTCAGGACTATCCAGGCTATTATAACATGATTAAATTTGGGATAGGCACTCTTGGCAGTAATGTCAAAGATAATACTGTGTTGTTTCTTACCATATCCTATCAGACCAGATGACATAA